ACCACTTGCTGAACAAATTTTCTTTGTTCCATTGTATCTTCTTTGCTCCTTTGTCAAAAATTAGGTGTCCAACCCTGGACTTTTTAAGTGGTTTATTTTTACAGTTTTCAAATGCACGGTCTTATTCACTATAGCATACACACATTGTGTTATTCTAAGTTTGCATCATCATTTCATATTCGGAATGACAGTCACAAATCTAGTGCACCCAATGCCACTCATTCTGCACAGCAGCTTTGTGATCACACCTCCATGTCCCTGTAATGACTAACAGTGAAGCACTAATGCTGCACTGAGGTGAATGCAGCCCTCACTTAGCAACAGACTATCTTTAAAAAAGTGAAGTTTTCAGTAACAACATTTGATGAAGATGGGGAGCAACAGGAACTCCTTTAACTGTAAGTGACAGACTTATCAGTAGGGACACTACGAAGTGACTTGCCTTTCAGAGTCAAATTGAAAATGAACAAATGGAAATGTTCTGTATGCAGACACTGAGCTGTTAGATCTGCACTCCAGAGCATTGTCCACACATTGGGCCCAGAGACATGGCTGAGAGTGTGGTAGTAGTGTCACTGACTCAGCTAGAGAGGTCACATCCACTCATGTGCATGGTGAATAGCAGGAGCGCCCTCCGAGGTAAAAGTGAAGTCCTACCAAGTAGGGTAGATTTGAGAACATAACTAAGGAAGATGCATTGCTGAAGAGTACATGTGATAAGATTTTGTTGACAGAAAGTTAAAAACATGGGCAAGTTATTTTACAATAATGGAATCCAAACCTCAAACACAACTGTGCAGCCAGCCTCCAGTAATTATTAAGTTATTTCTGGGGGTAGGAGGTAATATGGAGGGATGCATTGAGCTTCAAAGGTACTTTATTAAAGGCAAGTCATAAGGTTGCAGGTAAATGGTATTTGTTATAAGAATACTCTTTAAACTGAAAATAAGTGCTATAAGTTTTTATCTACAAATTAGGTATTTCATAAAAAAATTTGAGTTTAAAAAATATAGGCTTCAATATTAATGCCAAGATGCTATTTTCTAAGAAAAGGAAAGCAATTGTTAAGCAAACAAATCAGCTATTCTTCATTAGAGATTTCTTATGTTGCTTAAAAAAAATAAGGAAATTGAATTTAACTTGAAGTAGAACTTTTCCTTACTATATTAAGAGTTTAATGAGGTAATAGAAAGAAGAAGAAAAAAAAGTGTTGCCTGGGACATAACAAGTATTGAACACACACCCTTTGCTTTCCCTTTAATAAAAATGATATTAAGAACATGTATATAGGCAAGAAATCATTAAAGCAAATATGCCTTATACTAGAATAGCAGGTTCTAACCTATGATAGGTTTATATGTTTTGACCCTAAAATCTTTGAGGCTGTTTAGTATTTTTTCCAATCACTAAGAAAATCACGCATCTTTTCAGGATGTTCTCTTTCATCAGAAAGCACTGCTCAGGGAACATTTTTTTTTTTTCCTTTACAAAGCATGGTGGGCTATAGGGGTATTGTAGCTTCCTCCTTTGACAGAAGGAAAGACAAGAACAGGAGTTACGGAAGTGCTCTCCTCACACAGCACCAGTCAGCCAGAGCCTTGCTTTAGCTGTGTCATCTACACGTGAGTGGGTTTCTGGTCATCGTTTCCTCAGCCATTCTCTCAGGTAAGTTCTTCACTTTCCCATTTTATGATTCAACAAAATGGGAAATATAAAACTTATCTAAGAGGATGGTTAAGAGCAATTCAACACAATCATCATAATTACTTTAAAACCTTGCTCTAAATCTTTGTTACAAATTTCCACTCTGAAAACATAGCAATCTGAGAAGATACATGCTATGATCATATACACATATGCACTCACACACACACACACACTCACTCACAGACACACTCACACCCCTCTGTCATTAAGGATGACTGGACCTTTAAAACCAGTTCTGTGACTAGCAGACCTCAGCTGGTGGTATATTGCCCTTTTGTTTAGGTTTACTAATATTTCTAAGCAGTGATGTCCACACCATAAATTCTGTCATCCACCATTTAACTCTTACAAGGCATCAAGGATGTAATTTAGAATTACCTTGACATGCTAAACAGAATTATAAATTTGGTCAAAAACATATAAGATACTTTTTGGGTTTTGCCTTTGCCTTTGCAAAATGAAGTCCAAACTTCAAAAGTGACTCCCCAGCCTGCTTCTGTCTTTCCTCACGTGGTTAGGTGGACCCTGGTGAAGGAACTGGCCATCCTCTAAAGGGAAAAGACACCAAAAATATTTTCCACCTCATTTTGGAAAAATTAGTATTTATTTTATATATTGCAAGATATATCTATAGTTGGAGATCAAAATATCAAGTGGTAGTTTTGAAGGTAAAGACTCTTGGGGTTTAAGGTAGGCAGTCACAGAAACTTCTTTAACTTTCCACGTGGCCTTATTAATATCTGGCACTGGTCTGAAGAAAGCAGATCCTTTAGGAAGAGAAGTTCTCATAAAGTGCTAACCACTATTGCCTCACCAATGGACTTACTACAGATCACTTTTAAACCCCAATTTGCCAAATAAATAATAATCCCATTCCTGATCATTTTCTGAGAATACAATATGTCACATTAAACAAGACAGATTTGTACAAAATTTCCAGAGAAGAAAGATAATGAAGCTTTACATAGGCCTCATTGAATAATGAGATGCTGCCAAAACAGGAAAGCCAGGTTCAAAGTTCAGTTTGTCTTTTTCATTTATTTTCTTTCCCTGTATAAAATATTTTTTAGTTTATTAAATGTTGTCAAGCCGCATAGCATTCTTTTTAGTTATAATTACATATGTTGCTTTTTATATTTCATAGAATCTTCATGTAGAATAATTTAGAATTCTTAAAAAGAACACTCATTCAGAAAACAGTTATTAAGGGTATTGTCCCAGAAATTGTCTCATTTTGTCAGGTATTATAATCTTTGGATCAAAAGTGGCTGTTTCATACATGAATCACAACAAAGTATCTGCTGAAAAATTATTTAACATGGCTGTGATAATTTTTAATTTTATTTAAAAATCCTAGCTCCAAAATAAACAAATTTATGAAGGAATCAATTGTTGTTTAGAACAACAAAATTATCTGATCATGTACTGTGGAAAACAAGTTCTGTCCACTGTTGTCATTATCATTTAGGTGCAAATGAAATAAAAGATGACTTTAAAGGATAGAATCATTGCTGAAGAATGCAGCTGTTAAAGGAAGGCTATGAACCCCACTTTGGGGTAATAAGCTCCTAGTGATGGTTGTATGTGAATGTGCTTACAGTAATTCCTTTTATTCTTTCAAAACAGTGATTTATTTTAATGAAAAGGAATGTTATAAAAATTAAAGAAAAAATCAGAAACTTTTCTATACCCAAACTGAATTTGCTGAGGCAAGGTGTGAGGTGTCATTTGGGGCTTGTATTGAGTTATTCTGTGATGATCACACTATAGTATTATCCAGACAGGAAAAACTAGACTCAACCTAATGATTCATGAAATCTTGACTCATTTGGAACAATTTTTATTCATCATATCTATGTACAGTTTCACATTTAGGGTAAATAATTACCACTGCTATGAAAAGGCCTACTTACGCATACAGAATGGTAGCATTTTAGCAAAATGAATTAATTAAATTATAAATCAGCAGTAGAGAGTTGTGTTTTGATTTAAGAAAAAAATGTTTTGCTTGATTTAAGGGCCTTTTTGCTGTTGTTTCAATAGATACTTATTTACTTGTTACTTTCCACAAAGACACTACAGCTTACAATGCAACTAGAAGGCAGCCAAAGACTACATGATAAATAGTGAAAAGAAATTTTTCTTTTGTAAGAAACAACATGTTTTGGACCCTCCCTGGTGGTGCAATGGGTTAAAGCACAGCACTGCAAGCAAGCCATAGCTGCTTCAGTGTGAGTTCAATCCCCACCCAGAGGTGACCCCAAGGTAGCAGACTTCTCCTGACCCTCCCACTGCTCCCCACAGCAGTTAATCTGCCTGTTCTCTAGTGAATCCTCTTGTCGCCACTGTATCCCAGTTCTGTATGAATAAATAAATCTTTGAAAAAAAACTTTCTTTGAAATAAAACATGTTTCAATTATAATTTCATTTTTTGCAAATAATGATCATTTTTTGCATGATTTCTATTTTCACAGTTTATCTGGATGCCCTTTGAATGCACAAGCAATCAAAAAGGGCAAGGTCTCAGAAGAACTAATGACCATCAAACTCAAAGCAACTGGAGGTAAGAGGCAAGATGAAGATGCCCCTGGAGAACTAGAAGGTGAATGAAAATTCACCTCAAAACTGAATGAAAATTATACCTTACTTTTTCTTGAGTGTATGTGAGGTAGAATTTAGTTTTTGAGGTAATATTGGTTCACAACATTGGATATGATTCAGAAGTATGGGAACACCCCCTTCACACCACATCCGCCACCACGACACCTTATTTCTCCACATGAGGTAGACTATTATCACTTTTTACAGATGAGGAAGTTGACTTGTGCTTGGATGACTTGTCTAGGCCGGACCACAGAACTGACAAATGGCAGAGTCTGACCTAGAACCCAGTTTTGACCAATCCCAAAGATCTTCAGGAACCCTAGAGTTTATTCCTCACATGATTACTTTCCAACTGTTTATACTAAATAATTTATACAAAGAAATCTTTTAGATCCTAGGGTCATACATCAGTCAAATGATGGAAGAGATTGGGCATGGATATTGGTTTCATATCCTGTGCCAATGCTGGTTAGCTGGTTAATGGCACTCAGCAGGACTGTGCTGAGTTGGAGGATAATGTCCTTAGGAAAGAGTCGTCACTGGTGATTTCTGCCATAGGTCTACAAGAGAGAAGCTGCACTTATGTCACTTGTTATCCTCACTGTTAATAATGACCTCCAATAGAAAAATTCAAGCAATGATATTCAATGGTTTAAGATGATTCTGGCTGAACTTATTCCTCTTGTCTGTCCTCAAAGTGGCACATGTTTGCATTGACTATTTGTGTGTGTGTTCCTGCTGTAAGCCTTTACCAAATTTTGAGAAACTCAGTTCCTGACATCTATTTTTAAATTCTTCAATTTTATTCTATACTCAAAATAATATTTTCAGGGAAAAAATAAGAATAATACAAAGCACAGCAAAATGAAACAAAAACAAACAGAAAATTATAAAACAGAGACATCCTGCAGGGGAGGGGGAGAGAGAGGGATCAGAAGGAGGCCGTGCACAGGGGACTGTGATGATGGGGCACAGGTGAAATGGGGGAGAAAATTCTATGGGGTTGACACCTGAGGTGGGGGGGAAAGAGCAAACATAGTTTAAAAGTGAACAATGATGTAAATATATATATATATATATTAATTAAAAATAATATTTCATGGTGAATTTGAATACTTTAAATAGTACATTATATCTTATTATAAGTTATCACTATTTATAAGCATCACAGTATTAATTTCTACATCTCTGTCTATATTTTCCTGCATATTTCCCTAGTGTCAATCCCTCGTCACAGCTCATATATGGTTTCTGAGATATATACTTGAAATCTCCAACTCTTCTTTGATTCTTAAGTGCTTTCTCATTAGCATTATCTGAAGCATGTTTTGTTTTCCTGGAAGAATCATTCTAAAACATCTGAGAAACAATGCCATGCAATTATTTTGCTTTAGATATTTTATTTAATAGCATCTTTGGCATTTAACTGCTGTTATTTTATTTCTCTGAAAGCTTGTTCAAGCTTTTTAATTTGTTTGTGATTTTTAAATAGAAGATATAGAATATCCAAGGGAGGAAAGCACTCTTGGGGTTCTTACCATTTCCCTTCTGAGGCTTCATTCCTGCCACATTTTATTTATATGTGATCCCTCCGGGCCTCTCTTTATCCATGGTTACTACTGAAAGCTGCAAGCAGAGGGAGGGAAAAAGTAGGGACAAATCTGGGTCCTATTTTTTTTTCCCAAAGTTCAGGTGCTTAGTCAAAACATTTTCTCCAGATCCTTTGAATGTTCCTTGGAAATACTCCCTAGTCCTCTAATGCCCACATTTTTGGAGATGTTAGCACAATTTAACATTTATTTATTTGTTTGTTTATAACCTTATTTCAAACAGTACTTAAAGGGTAAAGAGTACAAAGTAACATGTTAAAAAAAAAAAAAAAAAAAGCTGGGCTCTCCCTCGTGGCACAAGGGGTTAAAGCACTACATTATGAAGCTTTCTGAAGCCACTGCAGCAAGATCAGGGAACTGATCTACATGGCATCACAGACCTCTTCTGACCGGCCCACTGCTCACCTCAGCAGTGTACTTTGTCAATCTTCCTGTTCTGCTCCCCACTCTGTCTCTGGTGAATCCTCTTAAACCCCACACCTCTGGCTTGTACCCCAGTTCTGTAAGTATAAATAAATCTCTTTTTTTTAAAGCTATTTAAAGTTAATTTGAAAAATGAGGTGAACAAGCTGGGGTCATCCCTGAGGAAAATAAAAAGATTCTTCTCACAAACATCCATAAGTACTAGGCAAAATTGAACTCCTGATTTTCTGCTGTACACTGCCTTTGTTTTCCCTACCCCAAAATATCACTTCAGCTACCCAGGCTGCTCATGCAGCAACAGGTACTCAACCTCGATTCCTTCCTTCTCTCTTTCTCTTCTTCCAACCCATCACAATCTTTGGAAGTTCTGCCTTTCAGCTTTTTGAATCTACTGTAATTAATGACTCCTCCCCAATTGCTATGGGGCAGGGGCCTTCAGACCCAGTCAATACCACAGCAATAATTTCCAAACTTATCTTCTTCTGGTGGCTTCTCAGGCTCTACTTTAATTCATTCTTTATGAAAAAATCTGAGTCCTTCACTGGCTCTCATTGCATGTGGAGTAAGCTAAGCTTTTCTTGCGATGTCCCATGATCCTCCCCGTTGACTGGAGCCTTCACTCACATGCCTTTCTAGCCCAGGAACAGACATTCCCACTCCTTCCCAGCTGTGGGCTTCTGAGCTTCCCATTTCCCTAACAGAGCTGCTCCACTCATTGATTTGGCTATGGCTGCCTCTTTCTTTTCAGTGGAATTTCAGATTAAATAAAGGAAGCTTCTCTAGTGAGGGTCTTCTTAACAACCTAATTATTTTTCATAACTATTCATACTTTGTAAGTGTTTCCTTTGTCATGGTCTGTGCCACCAGGTACTATGTAAGAAAATATCACACCATGAAGAAGTTGAGTTCTATCACAAAGAGAAAGAAAAATAATATGTCAAAAAATACAGCTATAGGCATGAGTTTAACTTTTTTTGTGGGAAGTCCACGGGGATTACAACTGAGATAAAATAATGTACAAAATGAAAAAAGATGTAAAAATATATATATGTATAATTAAAAATACAGCAATAGAAATTTTTATTTTCTCAAATAAGAAAAATTTCAAGTATTGACAGCACTCAAAATATGTATGACTGAAAAATCTCCCTCAGATTGTTGAAAATATTTCAGCATGTTTTGGTATTTCAATCCAGTTTTCTGAGAGAAGAAACCTCTAATAGTGCATCAATCAGAATACTGTACAGAAACAACTGGCCAGTGAGTGGTTTCTGTATCCCCCAAATAACATAGTTCCATTTGTGTAGTAGGGGGTGACTAGTTATCTGAGTAACTGTATCACACTTTGACACATCAAATTGTTTTAAGTACAATATTTTAGATATTGGCTTGCTTTTCTTTGTATTGTATCTCAGACGCCAGTATTAGATAAGTTTTATGACACACTTTATTGGGCCATGCACAGCTACTTTTATTTATTTAGCTAGTGAGTTGTTTATTAATCAGTAAGTACCCACAAAACCGCCACCTGTTCATATCATGCTGTGTATAAACTTCGGGACTGTCTTTACTCTCTTACTGTTAGGTCAGAGTCATCCATGTTGTTTTGGTGGCCATATGACTTGTTCCCAGGGTGTACTTCTGTGAACCATTTGCTCCATACACCTCCACATGTCTCCTGTTGCACTGGTGCAAACATTTGGCATGGCTGAGTATCTCTGAGAGGATGTGAAGGTCACCTTCAGTTTTCATGTGGTAATGCCAGAAGAGCATCAGAGACTGGATGCTTTTCAAACAAACTGTCATCTTCACATCATGCTCTCATGAAATTGATCATATGCAATCTAAATGCAGAAGTCTACATTTATCCTCCTCGATCTCTTTGGCTTAGATTCATCATTCTGGACTTTAAATCCTGCTTCTGGCATCTGTAATATTATATACCAATCCCGGTATATTTAATCTTTAAATGTCTTCTACAAAATTGTAATGAGAAAATGACTCCCGTTCATTGAGCACTTACTATATACTCGTCACTTTATACTTATTCTTAGAAAATAGATTTTTATCTTATATTTCAGAAGAGGAAACTGAAGCATGAAGAATTAAGTTGCCCAAGTTGAATAATAAGAGTCAAGCCCACCATTTAAAATTTCATAGCCCTCCTTCCCTATGTAGATTGCACTTGTTTCTATATCCCTATAAAGAACTCACATTGTGATGTTTCTGGAATCCAGTCCACCTGCCAGCACCCTAGCTTTGTCTTTAGTGATAATCAGTCCATAAGGTTCCTCTTACACAACAAATATATAATGAATTATCATAATTCATAGCTTAACTCTTCTTGCAGTGTTGTGGAAAAATCCATGGATTTTGAATTCAGTCCTAATTCTGCCTTTTACTTTTGTTTCTGTTTTTAAGATTTGTTTTATGTATGCATGCATACAAGAACTGGAGTATAGGCCAGAGATGGGCGGTGGGGTGAGAGGATTCACCGGAGACAGTATGGGGAGCAGAATGGGAGGATCAACTGAAATACACTGCTGAGGGGAGTGGCAGGCAGACAGGAGAGGTCTGCTGTGCCATGTGGGTCAGGCCATAGCAGTGTATCACTGAGACTTAAGCTCTAGGCCACCAGGGAGACCTCTTACTTTGGATTGGGCAGATTATATAACATCTGTCAACCCTTAGTGTGGCTGCTTTACCCTTTGTAAGGTCTAGTGTCATCATGTGAAAAGGTATAATGAAACATGGCACCATAGGGTACAGTGAAATTTAAATGAGAAAAACTTTCAGTGCTCAGCACCACCCCCTTGAAACTTAACAGAGCTTATTAAATGGTAGTGTTTTCTGTTCCTTTTTCTTTTCAAGGAATTGAGTCTTGGAACTCACTCTTTCAGAGTTTTAGATATGAATTTGGATAAAAAGTCAACATTTCAAATTAATCTAATTTTTACTTTAAGGCACAAGTTAATATAATGAATTCAATGTAAAATGATTCATATTTGTCACAGCCTCCTATCTTTTGTTTGTAGTAAGATACTCTGACTCTTTATAGGTATAGAGAGTGATGAAGAAATTAGGCATTTGGATGAAGAAATAAAGGAACTGAATGAATCCAACCTTAAAATTGAAGCAGATATGATGAAACTTCAAACACAGGTAAAAAAATAAAGAGAGAGAATGGGAGAGAAATCAATCAGCTATCTTTATGGAAATTGTAACCTATAGTGGAGATAAAATTTTGAAATGTTAAATATTGTGATAAAAATATATTGATATCTTAGAATGAATATACTGAGGATATACAATTATTGTAAAATATTGACTAAGTGGATCACCGTAGACTACTATTGATTTGGTTGTTGTAAGTATAACTACTCATGTTTTTCTTTGTCTGCATAAAAGACTTTATAAGAAAATAGGTAGTCAAGTAATTTTTCAAGTAGAAAAATTATTATAAGAAATAAGATGATTTTGTTTCATTCAAAATTCAATAAAAAAAGGAGCAACTTCTCAAATTTAACTTGGCACACCTCTGAAGGTGTTGATGTTGTTAGAAACAGATATTTTTTGAAGATTTCTGGAATGGATTCTTTCTCAATGGTACATTTTTCGTATACCATGTCTGCCCCATCCCCTGTTGAAATGTATCCAAATGGGAATGAAAAATCAGCCTGGGGTTGTTTCAAACACCAATAATGACTCTCTTGTGAAAAACAAGTTGGAAAGAAAAGAAGGTGAGCTACAATATAGAATGAGGTGTCTTCTCTCTGTCCTCTCCTAAAATGTAGGATTTTTAGGCCATATCATGTGAATTACAGAAATTCTCATTTACAGCTGTTGAAGATGGGGGGGGGGTCTTTACTAAAATGCAGTTTTGGTTTCCTGACCCATTGTGCCATTGTCATATTCTTCCTTATTAGTGACTAGGCTTACTCAAGTGTGGTACATTGGTCAGAACTCATGGGACTTCCTCTTGAGGAGCATTAGCAAAGACAACAGAGGCCTCTGCTCTCATGGAACATAAGATCTAGAAGGCAGAGTCACACCACACAGAAACGAATCATGTGATAAATTATATCATATGTGACATGGAGTTGGGAGAAGCAACCAGATTTCATCATGAAATAGGGTAGCCAGGCTAGGCATCAGGAGGAAGGAGACATTTTGATGAAGACTTGAGGTATGAAGGGAGTTAGCTAAACAAGTATGAGGGGATTGTGAGTGTGTGTTTCTTGCAAAAGCAGCAAGCATGAGAACCCTGAATCTTGAGTTCTCAAGAAATAACAGTAAGGGTGGCTTCAGGTAAACAAGTCGAGGAGTGATAAGCTCCAAAGGTAACACATGGAGCTTGCAGACTATTTTAAAGACCTGGGTTTTTATTCTGAATATCATAGAGTCATTATGGGTTTTGGAACAAAAGGTGAACACCATTATATTTGACTTACATTGGAAGAGACTGGTTTGGGTAGTTGTGTTGAAGATGAGCGGAGATGAGCAGGGAAAGTCAGATGCAGAGACCCCCTGCAGTCCCCTTCTCCCCCAAGGGGTGGCAGTCACAGCTATGTTGGTGACTGGGCCCAGGGAAGAATGGGACAGGTGGCCATAGTCTTTGTATCCTGGAATATGGAAGGAGAAACCCAATGGATTTGAAGTATGAAAGAAGAGACCCACTAGGGATACCTGGAAGTCCCAAGCAATACTCAAATTGCTTTCAACTGGAATCAGAGGGCTGTGTGTTTATATGAACAGATTTGAGAAAATAGCAAAGCTTTGCTCTTAAACATGTGAGCCTGAGATAACCACTGTTTAGACATGTGAGATGCAGAATTTGCACATCAATGAAGAAGTCTGGGAAGAAGATAATGATTTGATAATGTGATTCCAAAGCAGAGCAAAGAGATGAGGTTGCAATTTTGAAGAGCGACTGCAGTATATGCACTCCTGGGCATTTAGTTCAACTGATGCATTTTCCTTCAGAGAGAAACTTTTGTACTTTCAAGCTCTATTTCTCATATTCCCAAGTTATTTCCATTCTAGATCACATCAATGGAGAGCAACTTAAAGACAATAGAGGAGGAGAACAAACTTATAGAACAGAGCAATGAAAGTCTTCTGAAGGAGCTGGCAGGGCTGAGTCAAGCTCTCATTTCAAGCCTTGCTGACATCCAGCTGCCACAGATGGTAAGTCCACGGCCACAACTTGGTCTCTCCATTGCAGGAGTTTGCAATGTCCGTGTGCAATCACCAGCAGGGCTGCCAGTGAAATTACCTAGCTCTGAGGGGACCCTTCAGCAGTCTGCAGAGGCACCAGGCTTCACTGCGTCTGACTTACGATGACCTTCCTCAAGGGGAACTTAGAAAATCTGAAACTCAGTCATTGCATCATCCACTCAACTTGAGAACTGTAAAAATAAAAATGTTTTCAGCTTGGTGCTTTCTTTCTGCTAAGTATGAAGAGCATACTTACATTCTCCACATACAGAGTGAGAACCACCAAAGTGAGCATTACATCCTTATTTCCAAAACTTAAACATATATTTGAGGTTTAGCGACTACTTAAAATTCATTTGAAAAATTAAATTCCTTTACACTTTCAATAAGTAGAATAAACACATGGGAGAGGAACTGCATTGTTGAATGTTTTTAATATCCTCAATGCATGCATATTAGAACAATATTTCTAAAGCTCCAGGTTTTATATATAAGGAAGCAGAAATTTAATGAAGTATGTTTGGTTTGCTGAAAGCAATAATCGCCTCCACTGACCTAACTTCCAGCATGAAACTACTACCTGAAGTAATTCTAAATGTTTCTCTTGACAAAAAAAAAAAAGTAATAAAATAATAATGTAATAAGAAGAAACACAAATGAAAACAAATTATTATTTGATAACCAAAATTAACTTTTGGGTATTATTACTTATTAACATTTGCCTTAATTCATTCTTCAAATTTGTATTGCTTAATTTATTTTCCTTTATCAGTGCCATAAAAAGAACCATCACCATTCCAGATAACATGTACCCTGTGTAGTTATGTACAAGATACACTAGTAGTAAAGTTTAGGGGTGACACACTAAATGTGCCCTAAAGTTCCAAAGACTGAGCACTGCCATTGCCTGAAGTGTACCAGAGAGATTACTGAATCTCCCTGATATGTGATCACACTTGCAAAGGTGTCATTAACCAGGGGGCCTGGCTGTGCTGTGTGGTCTCTGTCTATTCTGCCACTTGTGTCCTGGTCTTCAAAAACGCCTTTCCAAGAAACACAGGACATAGCAAGGACAGAAACCTAAAGGAAATAGAAGTCTGATTAAACAAGTTAAACAAGTAGATCAGTATTTTGCTAAGCACAACAAAGTCATCTTTGAATGTAGATAAGTATTTTGCTAAGCACAACAAAGTCATCTTTGAATTTAGAAAGTCTACCACCTTCTAAGTGGCAACAATAGCCAATAAGATCATTAGTAATGATAGCACTCAGACCTTTTAAAAATCCTTTCTTCCAAGTATCTTGTGGAGCCAGGTATATGTCATGTGTTTGCAGAAAGATGGGGAAATGGAGGCACCACAAAATGGTGTAGCAGTATTTCCAGTGTGTTATTAATTTCCTCTCATCTCTGCATGTAATTTCCACAAATCAAGTGTCCGCTCTCTTTGAAGTACCACATTAGGCAAAGGAGAGACCCCCAAACACAAAAAAGAACAAGGGATGAACAGACCTTGGCTTTGGGCATTTGATGTGCTACCCGAAAGGAGAGATAGAGAAATAAAGACGCTTATTACAATGAAGCTACGAGGGCAACATGGATAAAACAGTGTCTGCGGATGAAAGAAGGCAATGTTCCACCAGGCAGCTGGTTAGTGAGCAACTTGCCCAAATCTTAAATTCCTTAAATTCCAGAATGGCTCTGCTAAAGGAACATTCTCCAACATTCGCCTTCTGCACACAGGAGGTCTGTTTTATGCTGGGCGTGCTCTGTTGAAGCTGAGGCTCCCTCTCAAGTGGTGCAGTTTTGAGAGATCCAGCTCAGCAGCAAGACATCACCTATACGTGGCTCCAAATCGACCACAAAATACTGTGCAGTCACGTTAATTCTATTAGTTGAGTAAAAGTGAGATGATTCCCAACACACATGCAATCTCTCTCCATCTCCCCAAATTCCAGCAGTCATGTGGATTCTGACCTTGCCTCCGAGACTCCTGCGTCACTGCTCCTCTGGGATGTTACTTGGTCCCCCTTTTCCTGGATCTCTGTGATTGGTTCAATGTGTTTTGTCTTCATTTAGGGGCCAATCAGTGAGCAGAATTTTGAAGCATATGTAAATACACTCACAGACATGTACAGCAATCTGGAACGGGACTATTCCCCAGAATGCAAAGCTCTACTGGAAAGTATCAAACAAGCAGTGAAGGGCATCCATGTGTAGGATTCCAGTCCTGCCAGCAACAGAAATCACCACAGCAGTAAGACAAATGGATCTGGTAGGCGCTCCTGCTGCTGGGGCATATAGGTTGCCGTACTGCAGTTACAATTGCAACATTGCACTAATTCCCCCCACCCCACCCCCACCCCCAGCTAACATAAAAAGGAAAGAAAAACTATGATAGACTCTTTGGATTAAAGTCCATGCAGTCAAATACTAGATCTTATTTATTTTCATACGTTTTTCTTTTTATTTCTTCATTGCACTGTTTTGGTTTGGTTTGGTTTTGTAAAAATATGTAAAAATAAATGTGACATTTTTATATTTTATTTATTTCTAATCAAAGAGTTTTTTATCTTTTAACTGCATTTTGAAGTCTGCCATATTTTTACAAGTGTTTATTAATTTATTTTCCAATAGAATTTAAATAGAAATGCTATTCTCAAATCCCGTATCTTGCTGGATTTAAATGAGAAAACAACAAAAACAAAAAAAAAGTATGAAGGAAATTCTTATGTAGGGACTATGGTACGGTCCAGTTTGGTTTTTATTGCACACTTCCTCTCCTCCACCTAGTCCCCCCATCACCGGCTTTTCTATTTAGAAGGTGAGTGGCGTGAAAGGAATCAGAAGATAAATGGCGCCCCCTAGTGGGCAATGGCGCTCACAGAAGCACAGTATACTGGAAAACAGCCTGTTCAGAATTTGTTAGCAATAATTAAATATAGCAATCAGTAAAGTATTCAACTTGGCTGTGCGGTTTTAGTTAATATGAATTATTTATTTGAAATGTTTTAAAGAAACATAAGCTTTTTAGTAATGCAGATTTGTCTGTTTGTTTTTCAAGTCATATCAGATAGTTGGCAACTCTTTTCCCAAGACTTGATGTGACCAGCCAGGCTTTCCTGCCATATGTTGGTACAACATACAAGTAAAAATATTGATGTAGATTCGTACTTAGCAAATGCAAAAACATCCAAATGGGAAATTTTGTAGATACCATGCCCCCTGAAATAGCATTTATCTTACTGGGTTGACTGGAAAGGAATGGTAAATATAGAACACATGAAACAATATTTCTCCTCTCTGATTACTTCGGATATTAGCGACATTGTCTCACCCTCTCTCGGCAACAAGACAACTTTCAATTTGATTTTAAAAATATTTCTATAGTACTACAAGTATGGAAAAAGTATACACACCCACGTATACACGCGCAAATCCCAACACTCACACATGTGAAAATGAGCCCTCAATCTTGAATTTCTGGATGGATCGGAGTTTAGAAGTTGCTATAGTAAAGGCAATGTCTATTTCAGGGATTGTAAAGTAGTTCAGCATTGTTTCAAAAGTTTTTTTATATTTATTTTTTTTAAGAAAAAGGTATAGACAACCAGCTAAACTGCCTTTTTGGTGTGCACACACTTCGTGTGCAATGTGCCTCCGTGTAAATGGACACTTGAACTTAGTGTGGGCTTAATTTCTGTGTTATAACAAAAGTGTTTATTTTTTATTAGCCTCATGGGTATGTAGATTGAATATGAAGGCACTCACAGGTTTGATATATTCCTCTGTTATTACTGTTACCTGCACAAATTAAAAGTAATATCCACAGAAATCCACTCTCATGACACTGTGGTCTTTGTTATGTATTAAGTAGGACTTATCTTTGGTTTGGGGTTCCTTTGGACCCTTGAATCTTAGTTTAGTGAAAATGAGGTGTCTTTTTAGGTAGGAATGGTGTTTATTTAAAAATCAATTTTAAATAAAGAGCTGCCATATGTGCTGTCTATTATAAATGGGACACCAAACAAAATTTTCTATTAAAGTTATGTAATTGCAAACATTTTGCTACACAATACTTGATAGATGCATACAAATGAGTTCACTTATTACAAAGACAAAATTTAATTTGCTAAATATTTTAACAGGTTTGTTATATATTTTATTTAATTTAAAAAGGATCTCTTACCAACTTATGTATTTATTACATAATTTACTATGACTTCAGGTTAATTTATTTGTGTTTGCATAGTTTGAACAGGATATTTTGTGAAGTTTGTTCGTATTTATTTGCTTCCTTTGTACTTGATGTGTTTTGTAATGTGCACTGAGTTATTTTTCCTTTGGACTATGTTAATGATTGATACTGTAAATCAGGTCTTTTGTAAACAACAAAAAAGGCAATGATGTATGCGTTTTTTTAATTTGAAGTAGTTTGTAAACTGTTTCTTCAAACAATTAATATTTCTTACATCAAAACAACAAAATTGTGTTCAGTGCTGTACATTTGGTGTATGGTAGGAAATAAAAATTAATAATGAGTTTTATTGTGATCTTTCTCAAGCTTCTAACTAGAAACTGTCATTGCCACACTACTAAAGGCTCTGTCCCAGAAGGAGCTCTGTCTCGGTTTAGCCAGCAAGTCCTTCAATTTAGTTTTTTCACCCCAAGTGGGCAGGAATTTTGGTCAAGTGACAAGGTATCATAGCCCTTGGTTCATTGTACCAATTCTGCAGAATTGCAGAAGACCAAAGCAAGGCTTTGCTGTCTCTAGCAGGAATTGCACCTGGCTCTAATAACAATAGGACAAAGATCCAATATTCTGATTCTACAGTTGCTTTGGGTACTTAGTATACAGTGACCACCCCCCACCCCTTATCCCTGATTTCCCTTTCAGTGGTTTGATTTACCCCTGGCCAAGTGAGGTCCAAAAACATTACATGTGATAAAATATTTTGAGAGAGAAAGAGAGAAAACAGTCACAGAACTTTTATTACAGTACATTGTTATAGCTTATTGTTGTTGCTGTTCATATCTTATATGCCTTTTATAAATGAAAATATCAATTATAAATTCAACATCATCACTAGTTATTTTGTAGAAGAAGCCGATAACATATACAGGCTTCATACTAATCAGGGGTAGGCATCCACTGAGGATCTTATCCCTATAGTTATACAAGTCAGTGGAATGCAATTTAAAGAAGAACATTTATGTTTTTCCTATCTCATATCAGCCAGCTTAGTATAACCTTTCGGTTTCTGCCCAGATTTGCAGCTCTAGGACTGGCTGCCGTTTCTGCACAATGTGGTAAAACCCATGCAATGCACATGGTGAGGCAAAATAGACTGGAGGGAATTTGGGCCCCAGGGAAAGCCAAGCTTGCTAGACAGTCACATAGCGGGGCCTAGTAGGCAGCAGCTAATGCACAACATCACTTGCTTTTATTCACCAAATGTGTTTGTACGAAATGTATGTGATCCATCCCAGGAATCACAAAATGCAAATCTCAACCAGGTTCTCGGCTTACTCTAAGCAGAGAAAGTGCACCTTACTCTACCTTGCCCAAGTTAGTTAGAACTTTTCTTCAGTAAGCCATATCTGCATTCCCATCACCCTGCAAGTCAAAGGATGAGGGCCGGTTCTAGTAAAACTACGAGACTGATGAGTATGATCACACATTCATACAACATGTTCAATTAGAAGACAGTTATGCCAGGCCCATTTTCTCACTCCTATTGGGAGACAATGAAATGAATCTCAGGTATCATGACTGAAGTGGTTTGTGGAAACAGTGTAGAAGGTTACCTAACTAGATTTGATTTCATGGGAAAAGTGCTGATTACAAAACAGCTGAACAAATTTGAGGAAAGATATGTTAGGAAGCAGGAACAGCTGGGTGAAGGGAGAGTGGTGAGAAAAATCATCAATCAAGCCACGTACAAGAATTAAAATATCCAACAGGGCCCTCCTTCATGGCACAGTGTTTAGGTTAAAGCACAGCACTAAGAAGCTGAAACCACTTCCGCATGAGTTCAACCCCCACCCCAGAGGTGATCCACATGGCGCAGCAGACCTCTCCTGACTCACACGCTGCTCCCCTCAGCAGTGTTGATCTGGCTGTTCTGCTCCCCACTCTGTCTCTGGTGAATCCTCTCACAGCCCCTGCACTTCTGGCCTGTACCCCAGTTCTGTATGCATAAATAAATAAATCTTAAAAAATATATAAGAAACAGTTGTTGAACCTGCCACAATAGGTTACCACAAACCCAGGTAATGAGAGTAAATGGTCATGTGACAGAGTCACACAAAAGTGTTCTAGTTTCCACAAATAGACTCTGGAAATGCCAAAGGTTATTAGAAAGCAAAACAACAGAAGAAAAGGCGGACCTACTAAGGCATTAAAGCACACTCTTCCCTGTATTTTCCTGAATCTAACTAACCTTCCCTACAGGACATGGGGGAGCCCTCCTCTCAGTTCCAGAGGGAGGGAAAACCATAGGAGATGCTAGTCACATTGGCTCCTGGAGTTTGCTGATTTACACACATGTGGAGCATGCTCTGCTTTTCCAGCCCCACTTACAGAGTCCTAAATATACATGGCAAAGGTACAACTCTGATTCAACTGCAAATGTATTTGATTGAAACAACAATTCTCTTTCAACTATTCTTAAGATCCAACCCATGAGACCTGACTACTAACCGGTCAAATGCCATCTCATTTGGGGCAAATAAAATGATTAGGTTAACTGAAGGCACATGGTAGTACTATTCCTGTATCTTCACATGATAACTGTACTTGCCCACCCTCATTACTGAGTGCCTCAGAGCTCATGAAATCATTCTTGTAGGTTTTTTTTGGTGGTCACACTGTCATGAGAGTATTGCGATCAGCATTAGACCAGTAGAAATCCAAGGCTAAAAAAAAAAGAGTACAGAATTAGCTTGCTCACCCAAAACTGAGGACCAAAGTCAGAATTCAACTCAGGTTTTACCCAGAGAGAAGATGCTGTTGTTTTGCTGGCCATCATCCTAACATGCCTCGATTCATGGTCAGTTCAAACAACACTCTCTCTAAAGGGATTAAATTTCACACTTCAGCCACATCATTATAATATATTTTTCTTGTAAAGACATATGATAAAAATGTGACACCTTAATTTATTTGACAAATTGGAATGGAACCTTTTGATACAGACTATAACAACCTTCCCAAATAAGAAAAATGTCAATAACTCATTTTTATGTTTTTTTTTTCCAGGGCAGAACAATATAATTATTTTTCTCTGTCAATAGTTATATTGTATATGATGGACAGTTTCGGATAAGTCTCTAACAATCGCCCAAAAAATGGATACATTTGTACTGAGCTTTCCTAGCTTTCACAGAACTAAAGAAAAAAAAAAAAAAAAAAAAAGGAACCCAAATTCAAATTCCCTGCTCTGGTTAACAGGAAAATGATCTAAATATTGTCACCAGTTCAGAACCTCTCTCACAGGTTCTGGGTCCAGCCATCCATTACCACAAATACAAACAAAAGCACCTTTGGTGTGACAAAAAAGGAAAATAAAAAAGTAATCTAACCAACAGGGTAGGGGAGAGAGAGCTAGCAGGATGGAGAGAGAGAGAGAGAGGTGTAGGTGATGGTGTGAGGTGAAGTTGCAGCATTCTGAGCCAGCAGGTGGGGCAGAAGCCTGGTACTGCTGAGATGGGGGGAGGGGTTTTGGGGGTTTGAGGAGAGGGCTAAGCTATCCTGTCAGCCAGCAAGGAACAAGAGAAACACACTCATACACTCACTTGCATCTCTTTATCTTAAGTCTTCCTCTTTGAGTCTCCCAAAAGGGCCACTCAACTCCACCTTCTTAGGCGCGGCCCACCCACCCCTCCACTCCCC